AAAATAAAGAGAAAACATGGAAAAGAATAGAGAAAATGGAACAAATCCAGCATAAAACGTTTCCTCTAGTTTTTTCTAAAACTCTAGCACAGGCATTGATTTTTCTGAAGTGATGAATTTTCACGAGTGACAGATTAACTTGGAACATGGTAAGGGCAGATCAAACCACAACGATTGCTGGGTAAAGTTGCTATCAACGAAAAGCTTATTGGTGCTTATTAACACTGCCAAAAAGGACTTCAGCACCACCTGCATTTTGCAATAAACGTCTTTGGATATCGTTTGTGGAAAGAAGGGTTTGTTCGCTCCATTTTTGTTGGCCCAAATGTTCTGGGACAGTGTCTTCTCTTTTTAGTGAAGGCAAGGGTGCACGCTTCTATGGAACATTTTTATGTTGTGTACACCCATCTTAATCAGAAAACTGGAGATGTCATGTATGCAAAATGTAGCTGCAAGGCTGGTCAAGAGGGCTGTTGTAAACATGTAGCAGCCCTTCTTTTCACCCTTGTAGACTTTGCCAACCTGGATACCAAAGTGATACCGAATGATTTAACTTCCATTCCAACATTTGCAGAGAAAAACACCATTCCACAATTGTTTGGACAGATGAACTTTAATGTTAAGGACTCTGCATAACATAATGATGAACTGAAAACCAAGATATTGACAGCCGTGCAAGTTAGCAAGCAAGAGGCAATCAATATCTGTATAAACACATTGGGACAATCAGAACGATTTCAGTGGTTTGAAGAAAGTTAAATTGACAGTGTCAATTTTCGGAAAGGTGATGATTTAAGGCAAAATTTGTACCCAAATTCACTGATAAAATGCATAATTGGTAAAAATTACAGAACAAATAACAATTTACCTGCACCACTGAAATAGGGGAACAACCATGAGAGTCTTCAATTTCAGAAGCGTGGAGATTTATAGGGAAAGGAGGTTGAGGATTTTTGTTTCATTGTATACCTTTCCTGTCCATGACTTGCATGCAGCCCAGATGGTATTGTTGTGGAAAATGGAGCACCTGTGGGTTGCATTGAAGTAAAGTGTCCATATGCAAAGAGAGATTCTACCTTTGCAAAATTCCTTGAAGCGTATTTACAGAAAGTGAGCTTCTCGATTTAGTTTTATTTGTGTTCACGTTTGAGAATGTTCTCTCGACTTCAGCTGTACTTTGTGGAAGAGCATTATACTTTCTTGATGAGCTCTGATTTGCCAGGAACTAAGTCCTTTTTACAAAACGAGCAAAATGCTTTGTTCGGACTGCTTTTCTTTTCACCAATGGCCAAGTTGTTGAATGAAATACAAATGAAACTGACCTGAAATCGGAGGGCTATTAATAAGAGAATGACAGCAAATATTGCTTGTAGGGGCTTCCTCATATCTTACACTTCCTACACTCAACTTGCCACCTGACACCTTGATTTTTATTTTCGCAACTATATGGGAACCTCTACAACCACTATATCTGAACACTCTTTTGGCACTTACGTAATCCCCACCAGCGGAATCTAAAATACCCAAGGGTTCATGATACTCAAAATTATTTTGATCAATAGGTATGCAGGTATACTTGCAGCAAATATTTATAGCTACAATTTAACTCATTTCGATTTATATTGGGGAAGGGGTGCCCATTGCACTATTGCTCCCTATTCTCTTTGCTGTCATTAAGGTATAAAATACAGATTCGCAGTTATTACCTTTTTGAATAAAATATATAAAATATAAACGGTAACAAGTACTATAAGTCTTTGAATAAGCCCCAGCCTTAAAATAAGCCTTCTCCCCCCTTGAAGCCTCCCCACGGGGGCTTACTCCGAAGCTGTCTAGTTTCCATACTGCTCGATCTGATGACCTAATTGTTTTACCCTAACCCTAAATCCAACCCTAAACTGAAACCTAACTCTAACCCTTACCCTAACCCTTAACTTGAAATAATTAATCATGCTGATTTATGACTATTAATAGTACTTACTTATGACTATGAATGAGGTCAAGCAGTATGGAAACTAGACAATTCCGCTTATTCCAGTTCATAGTGTTCACTTTACAAGAGAGCAAAAATACATCATAGTAATATTATGTAGGGGGAATGGGTTATTTGTAGGGGAAAGGAAAGAGAAAAATTTGTCATGTTTGTAAAGGAAAGTAGGGGATGCTGTAGGGGAAACCAGCCACCACTGCGTGGCAGGTTAAAAAAAGTTTTGTACATTTTTTTTGGTTGTGATGCAAATAAGCTGTCAAAGAATTTTTTTGGTTCTATTTTTCCCAACTACTGACCTTTCAAACACCTTGTTGAAGTTTATTGTAAATAAGAAATCTCTCAAATCAGTGTTTACGTGAACATTACACAATCAAGGATATTACACAATGAGGTTTCAAAGCAATTACATATAATTATTTGGAAGGGGAGGGATTTTTTAGTATTTGTGACAGAATATTTGTGGGGAAGTTATCATAGTTTTTTTCCTCATAGATAATAAGTTTTTACATAAGCTTAGTAAAAACATTTATTCTTTGTAATTGCACAAGGGTAGTTTGTACCACATTATGTATTTATATTCAATGATTATTGTGGCATATTCCACATGGTCTAAAAACTGCTTAAGGCATGTTAACAGTTTGCAATCATAAACTCTTTTAATTAATATAGTGGAATAGGTGGTTTAAATTTCTACAAACTCAGTAAGCTTAAAGCAAATTAGATAGAAAACAGTGCTATGAATGCCAGTAAAATAGGTTAATCAATATTTCCTTAACAAACAAAAATTGGCAATCAGAACTGTAAGAAATATTTAACCCTAGGCTAAATTCTTTGTTTTCCATATTTAAGTTGGCATTGTTTTGTTCTATGTTGTTTTCTTTTTTGTGCAGATTTATTTTTGTGCAAGGAATTATAGATACAAGTTAACTTGTCATCTGCCATACATAGCCTTTGCAAAGCAAAAGAGCATGATCAAGCATACAACCAACACAAACGAAGAAAAGAAACACAGTGAAAAAGTAAAAATCAGCATGCAATTAATTCTTATGAAAACTTAGCATTAATTTTCAGTCTCTATCATTTATCAAGGGTGGAAAAAATCTCCTTCTTGGGTTTATTCAAATTCATCTAATGTCAATATTATTTTAGGGCAGGGGGCTGCCTCTTTATTGAATTTACTTATTGAGAGTACTTCTCCTTTGAATAATTTCCTCCATGCACTTTCTTTAATTTCTTTGTTTTTAATTTGCCAATTCTATTAATTATATGTAGTAATGTATTAATTTTATGTAGTGACCTACTTTTTCGCTGAGAAACTTTTCGCCTTGTAAAATAAACCAATCAGAACATCATTTGAAGACATCTGACTTCTGTTTTGGTTTCAGATGGCCTACGTCTTCCCGCATTGTCTTTCTCAAACAATCTCGCCTTTAAAACGTCAATAAAATAGATTGGTAATTGATCATTTTTTGTTCCTCGTACACAATGCATGTAAGTGGATTTATATCAGATCATTATTCAAACATTTGAATTTCAAATTGATGAAAACTGGCTTGAAAGTTTCATCGTTCTACCAATATGTCAGAAATGAAAAATAATAGCAAGAATTGCTTCAAATTGCTTAATTGTCTGCTCAACTGGCCTGCTCAACAGCAAAAGTTTTAAGCAGATGCACTAACAGAATCTTGCATGCTCTTGCAAGCCTCGATTGCAACCTTTGAAAGTATATAAAGAAGTTATCCTATAAATATAAACATAAACCTCTCTTACCAAAAGATGGAATTCCCCCTTCTTAAGACTTCCTGAATAAATTTCTCTAATCCTGTATCGCTGTTTCCTGTTTTACTTGCTTTTTTGATAAATTTAAAATGTTAAACTTGATAAGAGCACTCTTGGGACAGTCTCTATATTCTTTAGTAATATTTGCATCGAATTCGCATCAAATTATCTGCCAGTGTAAATTGAACTGCGAATTTGGGAGAAAAATTCGCAGCTAAAGAGTTTTTGGCAAAAATTCAATTTGGGCAAAAAATTTGTCTCGTGTAAATCTGGCTTCAGTTCATTATATGACTGATATGTAGATGGCAGCTGAAAAAATGGTCCATGTGTCGACTATTAGTCTTCTATCTTTGCCAGACTGGACTGGATCACTAATTAAATCACTGAATGATACTGTTATGCTGTCACACAAGAGGATATCACTTCCTGTGATAAATTGAAGGGATGTTTCTTATGGCACGCATATACCGCCAAAAATAGTTCTTTCTAAAATTTCACGAACTTTCTAAAAGTTTAGTGATCTTCTAAAAGTTCTGATGCTCTGCATTCTCACGAAAGGCTAGTTTTAAAATTTCAGTCATTTCCAAAGTTTCAACCACTGTTCAACATTTTCTAAAATTTCAATTATTTAAGCAACGTTTCTAAAATTCCAATCGCTGGCTCTGCGAGATTTCTAAAATTTCAGTCATGCTAGGTTAGTTCTAATATTGCAACCATTTCTAAAGTTTGAACCCCCGCTCAATATTTTCTAAAATTTCAATCACTCTAAAGTGTCAGTGGCTTTTTCAAAGTTTCAATGGTGAATGTTGATAACCTCTTCCTGAACTTTTCCAAGCCGCCTCCTTTGCCACCATTTCCCCGAGAAGGTAAGTGCAGGTGGTTGGCTGGCAGGAGGGTGAATGTCAAGGTGAGCAGAGATTGCGCCAAATCATGGAAATAGCAGAGCGGATGTTACAGGATGCTAGCAGTACATGTACAACGACTAGCACTAATGAAAATAGTACACCTGCCTCGGATTGTTCAAACAGACAAAGTAGCAATTGCAGCGATATGCCAGGATCAACAATCAGCAGCTTCCTTAGCCCAACAATTCCACAACAGCATCAACTAAACCCGTTCAACAGCAGTTGCTGCTAAGACAGAATTTTAGAAGTTTATTTGCGCCATAGAGCAGGCCACAAGATCAGCGTCAAGGGAGACCTATGCCATGAAGGGTGAGGGGCATAGGGCGGCGTAGCCAGGACTTGGACACATGACTTTTTTTGTTTATCAAAAACCAATACATCATACGCCCCAGGTCAAAAAGAAAAACTAGAATTAGCTGATACTGGTTTAGGAAAGAAAAAGGTTACCTTCTCGCATGATGGAGATGCTGCTCATGTGACTAAGCAATTGGAAAAAATTTATCCAAAATTACAAGGATGTGGAGGTTTTGAGATACTACGATCGCAAGGCACCAAAGAAACATTGCGATTGCTCATCCCACCCCATAGTGGATATTCTGTTATATCACTGAGGGATCTTAGCGGCCTTGGGTCTGCTTTAGGATACATTAGACCAATACAGATGAACCTTTCCACATCAAAAGTCTCACCACAGGATCCCATGGTAAGTTACCATACAAATTTGACAAAGCAATATTCATTTATTGATCAATAATTTGTACTATTTTGACTGCTTTTTGTCATAAACATATACAGAAATAAACCAGTTTGGAATCTTCTGTCTTGTATGACTTTGGTAGATCATCCAAACATTTGCTGTTCAACATGCAAAAGGAACACATTGATTTGCTACCTAATCAGCAAAGGAGACTTTTTATGCAGAGCTCATTGAAAATCTATGTAAAAAGATGCAACCCTCTGCTGTACAAAATTAGATTTGCTGTTCTGTTTTTACACAATCATACAATTTTCTCTCATATTATTAAACCATTTCAAGTCCATTTGGTCACCATTGTTTCTTGCCATTAATATTTTTTCCAGATGTTTCAATCTATGGAGTCTTACTCTGTTAAATGTTTAGGCTGCCTTGAAGATATCCCAATAGACCAATTACGAGAGCATCACAAAAAGTGTATCAGCAGCAACAATCAGGAGGTAAATTTTCTATTGAAACATTCTGTTAGCAGTCAGATGCTGACTTTTATGACAGGCCTATTTCAATCAGTGCAGGGTGGTAACTTTGTTTCACTCTTTTGTTATCACTCCAATGTGTTGATGAGTGTCAGATGAAAGTGTTACTGCGCAAAAACTAAATTCTATTTCAATTTGCCCCACATTTTTTGTTTATTTTAGAGTTTTTAACTTCTGTCCATTATGTAAAGTGTCCCTTAATTTATGAAATAGAGATAACTTAAACTAAAATTGATAAAGCAACTCCAAATAAAATCTGTTTGAGTGGTTTTGATTACTTCTTTTCTGACCTGAAGATTTTGCAATAACAAACAGTTTCAAATGTCTAAACAACTTATTTTTGTGCTGTTGTTTCTCTTTTGTCAGGAACAACATTCACAGTGTGATGAAGACCCGGAAATATGAAAAGGATAATATCAGCGTTGCGCTAAAATTTGTAATTTTCAAAGCCCTCTGATTGAATAATTTTATATACATCCATTCGAATCAACATGCCAGTAGTATACAGAAATACCATAAATCCTAGAATTAGCCCCTTGCAGGCTTGTTTATTTTGAATATTTTTGGATGGGGGCTTATTTGATGATGCTTTTTAAAAGTTTGAATTTCAAAGGTGGGGATTTATATAAGGGGGGCTCTCCTGAGGGGGTGGTGCCAATTCAAGGATTTGCAGCATCTTAGCTATTGGTGCAGGTGCTTTGGATAGGTAAAAGTTTACTGTGAGACTTGTGTAAACAAAACCTACCCTGTATCAGTTATTTGTTGATTAAATATAAAAACTATAATAAATTAAACATTTGGCCCAGTGTCTAGAAAAACAATTACTGCCACTAATAGTCATAATATGAGTTTATATTCACCACAGGTCCATGGTGCAAGTACAAAAAAGGAATTTTATCAGGCAATAGTTGACACACAAGTTCAAATTGTTCTTGATGAAAGCCAGTGGGATAGGTCTACCCCTATTCAGGTAAAAGTTCTGCAAAAGTTCGCAAAGTAAAACTCTTTGAAGTTGAAATACTTTCAAATAATTTGTTCCTGCCATTTTTGCAGTTTGGAAGTGAAAGGTTTTTCACTCCCTGTAATATATTATTTCTTTCTAGTTGGAGAACAAGCTGACCCTCATCCAATGGCTGTTGCAGTATGATGTTTTAATTAAACGTGAAAAGGCTATAAAACACTTCGGGAAGGGCTTGGCAACCCTTGGCCTGGTAAGACATATGCAAAAATTTCCAGAGTATCTTGCACTACTTGGAAATTTGTGGGAGCAAAATTCCAGAAACAAGAATCTCATCACTATCATGCAAGTCATCTGTTGGTACTGGACCATCCCAGTCTGTGCCATAGTCTTCTTGCTGCAAATAAAATATATATCATCATCATCATCATCATTAGCCTGTCACACCACTGCTGGCGGATGGCCTCCACATCTTTCTCCACTTATCACGGTTTTGGGCACTCTGGGTTCACGTGCTGCCTGCCTGCCTGCCTGCCTAAAAGTATATATCATTTTTAGTTATATGTTGATTGTTTTACTATTAAAAATAATATATTGAAATTACAAGCTGATGTTTTTTATGTAAGTTGGTGGTTTCATTTTAAACATTGGAGGAAATAACTTTACTCCAATTTCACTGTGAAAATCATCTGGGCCCCTGCCTTCCGTCAGTCCTTGTAGCCACATTTGCAGTGGGGATTTGTAATGCTTATAGATTTGTCATGGGAGACAGAATTGGAAATTCATTTTTTACTGCACCTTCTGTTCCTCGTGAAATATCTGAGATAATCTCTCTTCTTAAAACTGGAAAAATCTCTAGGACCAACCAGCATTCCTATGAAAATCTTAAAAACCCTTATATCTTCACCTCTTTCTCACATCATGAATGAACCATTTCAATCTGGGGTATTCCCAGACAAAATGAAGTTGGCCAAGGTAATTCCATTGTCTAAGAAAGGTTCTTAACTAGAAGCATCCAACTATAGACCTATTTCTTTTCTTTCTATCTTCAGCAAAATCATAGAAAAAGTCATGTAAGAACGTCTTTATAAATTTCTAGAAAAACAGGAAATACTTTATGCTTTAAAATTTGGATTTCGCGCTAATCATTCAATTAACCATGCCCTGGGTAGTTTAACAGAAGCCACAAGAACTCATTAGATAATAAGAAAGTCGGTTGTGGGATTTATATTGACCTACAAAAAGCATTTGATACAGTAAATCATGAAATTCTTCTGACAAAGCTTGAACATTATGGAATTCGAGGAACCGTCTTAGACTGGTTAAAATCTTATCTCACAGAAAGAAAACAATATGTATCAATAAATGGATCAAACTCAAGTTATCTGTGTTACTTGTGGAGTTTCACAGGGCCCACTCCTTGGTCCTCTCCTTTTCCTAATTTACATTAACGATTTGCCATACTGATCCTCAAACCTAGCCTTCTACTTATTTGCAGATGATACCAATATCTACAGTAAAGCTGATAATCTTGATTTGCTTCAAAGAACAGTCAATATTGAATCCAAAAAAGTTAAAGTTTGGCTTGATGTTAGCAATTTATCATTTAATATTGATAAGAAAGATTTTATTACCTTTAAGTCTATTCAGAACCCCTCCTCTCAAATAATCAATATCAATATTGGAAACTTTCCTATAAAAAATACTTCCTATGTTAAATTTCTTGGAGTCCTATAAGATGAAAATCTTTCTTGGAAATATCATTTGACTGAGCTTTCTAAAAAACTTGCAAGAATTTCTGGCATGTTCTTCAAAGTAAGAAACTTCTTACCAATAAATGTTTTGATATTTAGAATTCTTTATTTTCACTTTTTAATCAATAGGGAATTTTAGTTTGGGGTCTTACATGTGAAACTTATACCAATCCAGTATTCCTATTACAGAAACGGGTTATAACGGCAATTGCATTCGAGAAATTTACTTTGCACTCAACTCCTATCTTCTCCGCTTTGAAAATCTTAAAACTGCATGATCTCTTTCAACTTAAACTTCTGACTTTTGTGTATGAATCTGTCAATAAAATCTTCCCTACTTGTTTTCACAACTTGTTTAAATCTGTGGTGTTCATTCATCAATATGGTACACAACAGGCTCGCAAGGACAATATATTTTTAACTCAAATAAATACCAATCAATATGGTCTCAGATCTATACATCACTGTGGATCAAAGTGCTGGAATGAAATTCCTTTAGATATAAAACGGTCACCATCAGTTTATATCTTTTGTCAGAGACTCAAAGCCTTTTTTTTTGAAAATAATTATTGTAGCAGATTATGGACAGTAATCATCAATATTTTCCTCGAAATGTTTCTAAGTTATATTCATCAACTAAAATTTTCCTATAAGGGGGTGGCCTCTCCTCGATTAGCTCTGCTACTGAGAGACCTCCTTCTCAAAAATTCCTCTTCATGCAAATTTTCTAAATTGTTGAACCCACTTACAAACTGCGGCAGAGATTTGTTTATCCTAGGCAAATACACATAGTGCAGAGCAAACAGGTGTGTTTCTTCAGTTGAAATTAGAAAATTAAACGAACCTACCTGTAGGTGAAGTTTGATTGTAATTCTATGAGTCATCGGCCGTGACTGGAGGAGCTGTATGAGATACTGTGCGCTAGCCCATGCGAACCAGCTTTTAGAGCTAAGCAAATGAAGCAATGACAAACCAGTGATATATAAAGGAAAAAATAGGAGGAGCCGGGACGGAAGAAAAAACCATAAATAACCGGGACGTACTGTTTGTTTACAAGCTGTGTTTTAAAACTTTTGAGGGCAAAATAGGCTGCTAGCAGTTCTAAAAAGTTAATGGTTAATGTGATGTAAGGCTTCAACTGGGGACCTTGATATGTATCCAAAGGAAATTGAGTTGAGTGCGGCTCCCCACCCAGAAAGTGAAGCATCTGAGTATAAAGTCAGGTCGGGGGGGGGGTGACCATGATATGTATCCAAAACTGTCATCTAAGTTCAAAAGTCACAATTCTATATCAGACAGGGCGAGTTTACTGAGCCCCATAATAGCATCAAAATCGCCCTGAGAGGTCTTTAACGCCTGTATTTTATCATTTTCCTGTGGGCGAAAATGTATTCCCCAAAAGGAACTGCAGGGAGGCACGACACCATATAGTCAACAGCTTTTACAGTATCACGAATAGACACAGCATGACAATGTACTTTTAAATTTTGCAAGCATTCCTTTATCTCTGTTTCACAATCAGCTGGTAAATTTATTGTCATAGAAATCGAATCAAGAATAAAGCCTAGGAATTTGATTTGCTGTTTAGGAAAAAATTCAGATTTTCTAGATGTACTACAAAACCAAAGTCATTAAATTGTCTGAAGGTAGATAGCACAGTATTAACACAACCTTCATATGTACCACTTTGTAAATGAATATCATCAATATAACTTGCAATAATGTGTCCCTGTTATCTTAATGTAACAGCTAGGGGCTTCAAAAGTTTAGTAAATTGCCTTGGACAGGATGCTAAGCCATTAGGATAGGCAGTATAGGCATACAAAGACAATTTCAAATATCTTTGGCATGGGGAGTGAATTCTGACACTGGAATATGCGTCTTTAAGGTCAATAGAAGCCATCCAGCAGTTTGGTGTAATCATAGCAAGTATGCCTTGAATAATGTGTGAGAAGGAAGAACCGCAGGATTGGCTGTCAGCCGGATTCTGTGAATCTTGCAATGAGATTTTCAAATGAAAGATATACAGGAACAAAGCAATACGACGACGAGAATCCAATGTCACGAAATGAAATTTTCAAAATAAATTAAATTTAAAGAATATACTAATATTTCGCCCCAGCATATAGGGCTTCATCAGATTAAAATCGATGCTTTGAATAGTTTCCATTTTAAAATGATGATATGCAACAAAAGAATTTAACTGTTTAAGATTTAGAATAAGACGGATCTTACCGTCCTTCTTAGGTACACAGAAAATTGGAGAAACGAACTCTCCATTTTCATGAGCACATCGTCTAAGCACATTTTTCAATAGCAAATCAGAGATTTCTTGCTCAATTAACGGAGCGTATTGATAAGAAATTGAATTAGCCGGATACTGACGTTGAATTTCAGGGGGTTGAACAAATTCAATCAGATCACCAGAAACAATTCTTAGTATATAAGGATCTAAGGTTGATACCTTGTGAATTACATTTTCCAGTTCTTTGAGAACTTCTTCCTTCGATGCTGAATGGTTGGAGATTGCCCTGACCTCTGCGGGGAGGGTAACCCCTCCCCCGCTGCGATAAATAAGAATTGTTTTGAGAGGCCGAATTCCCAAAACGTTGATATGGGTTTCGACGGGAGGGTCTTGCAGAAATATTTTGAGTAATATGGCTCATTGCCTTGACCTCTCGCATTGTTTTAGAAATGTCATCACCGAAGAGCAGAGTGGGTGGCTTCGTAGTGCAACCACATGCGGCTTTATACATCGGATTGATAGAGGGTTGCATGGCCTCTTTGCAGCGGCAAGAAAGCTCTTTGCAAACATAACCAAGGAGAGTTATAGCATCAATTTGTTGGGAAACCACAGATTGGCAATCAAGGGGAGATTCGGATTCCCTGTGCTTCAAAAGATCATTTATCAACATAGCGATAGCACCGGATGCTGTCAAAATGGCATCTTGAAGTACCGTAAACCATTTATCGGCCGATTTGACCTCTGGCCTAATTGCTCCCCATACTTGTCGGTTAATCCGAGGTTGATAAAGCCCTGTGCAATTCTCAGGAATTTGATACTTATTTCTCAACTGCTTTCGTTGAGCAGACTCAAATTCCGCATGAAATTTCTCATTTAAAATTTTAGTCAAATGGACTGCACCTTTAGGAACCTTTAGGAACTGAAATTGCAGTAGCCATGCCAATTTCCTTAGAGAAAGGCATCCTGCATGGTAGTATTATTTGGATCTACCATATTGTCTTGGAGATTGACATCATTGTCAATGTCCTGCTCACCAAAGATTGTGAACTGGAGGAGGAGTCTCTGAATGATGCCCGGCTATAGAAGGGGCAGGTGCATGAAAATTTTCATCCTCTGTATTGTGAGGAAGAAGCGAAGTTTGGCAATTAGGGTTGACAGAAATAGTAGAAGAATTGGTCATATTGACACGCCTTCGTTTTGCGATAGGAAATTCCTCGCCATAGTCAGATCCCAACTGTAAGACATCCTCTTGGGAAATCTATCGCGGGGATCAAATAACGGTTTTGTTGGGAAACAAGATGCAGTAGCAATAGGCCTTTCCCTTTATTATGTCAGAAGCCATGCGCGCGCTATGAATTCTGGGTATGGTAATTAAAGCGACCTTCCAAGAAGAGATTTACTTTTTTACTCTGATCGCTTGTCACATTTCTCAATATTCAAAATTGATTCTACTACCGATAACAAAACTGTTAACGAAGGAAGTCATATCCCTAGTCCTTTTCAAGACTCTTGCCAGGGGAACCACAAAGAAACCTTTCGGAAAAGATGATGGAAGGTCATTCATCTGTTGTGGAAGGGTCAACTAGGCCCAAGCCAGTCGTATCTTCACCTTATATCTTCGAGTATCAAGCGGAGATGTATAAACGCGAGGGCTGGATAAACGTTTGTTGTTTTTTGTAAAACCGAACTTGATTCAGAGTGATAATACTTTGTTCCTTGTAAGAGCAAGGGTGCATGCGTCAATGAAGACCAATAGTTACAAAGTTTATGCAAATCTAGACCAAGACAAAGGTGATGTAATTTTTGCAAAGTGCGACTGCAAAGCAGGCCAGGGTGGTTGCTGCAAGCATGCTGCTGCTCTTTTGTACACCTTAGTTGACTATGTGAACATGGACCTACAGAATGTGCCAAAAGAACTTACCTGTACACAAGTAGGCCAAAAGTGGCAAATTCCATCATCTGTCAATGGACCATGAAAGAACGCCTTCATATTTGATTCTTTGGTTTTTGAAAAGGCTGAAGAAGGGAAAAAAAGAAAGAAGCCTTGTCCAAGTGGAGAAAGAAATTATTGTGCCACCCCACCTGTTGCATATAAGACAAATCAAGAGGAACTAGTAGATTTAGTTAATTGTCTTGAAATAGCTGGAAAAGCAAATCTGTTTTGTAAAGCAGTGAAGCCTAGTTGTACCTTGTGAATTTTTTGAAACTTCCTGCTCAAAGGCTATCAGTAAAAAAGTACTTTAGGGCAAAGAAGATGAAGAAAATTCCTCTTTTATATACATTGAAAGACTATTTGAGGGTATCAGCACTAAAGAACCATCTAGTTTAAGTCTTGCTACTTGCAGAAATAGTAAGCAGAGTTGGAATTACTTCTGATGCAGGAATCACATTATGTAAGAATACTTTAAAGCAGAATGAAGAGCAGATCTGGCACACCGAAAGAGCCAAAAGGATTACCTCATCGATCTTTGGAAGAGTGATGAAGAGGAGAAAGACCATCTATCCAGCATCTATTGTAAAGACAATCATTGAAAAGAAAGAGAACCGTAGTGGCCTACAACTTTCCCTCAGATGAGGGGTTAGAAAAGGAGAGTGATGCTATATTATTATATCAAGAACAGCTAGGTCATGAATCGATAGTGGAAAAATGTGGCCTAGTTGTAAACCCAATATGGCCACGGAATACTGTGGCCCCTGCCCACCCTCGAAACAATTTTTGTAGAAAACCTTTATTAACAATCATTAAGGAAAATATGAAATATCTAACAATCTTAAAATATTGATAGTTATATCATCAATGTCTGCCACATCATTGAAATATCAGATATGAAAGAATGCCAGACCCAAGAAACAAATTCCAGTTTTTCTTTCTCAGTGGAAAATCATGAAAAAACTCACTTAAACGTGTATTGAAATATCAGAGTAAAAATGTGAACAAACTCTTATTTCTATTTATTGATATGTATCGAAACATTACTCAAAACTGAACTGAAATCAAATATTCTGACCAACTGATAATAAAAGTCATTTCCATGGATAGAATCAGTCAATAGTAGAATATGTATGTCCTTCATTAGTTCAAAACAAAACATAAAATCATGGTGCAAATGCAATCTTACCAACATCACTTCTTGAAATGACAGCTAATTCTTGAAGGCATTTAGGTAGACAGACGCCGGAACACCTAAGAATAAGAAAATATAAATTTCATAAACACAAAGCTCTCATAGAAAATGTATATATATACTGAAAAAAATGACAATTTAATCCTGATAATTAACCCAAAAGCTGTTCTCTTTAGATAAGTATGGACAAAATCTCTGGCATATGTATGAATATGTATGAAAATAGTACTAAAAAGCAAAATGAAATCTGAAAATGTTTCCACTCCACATTACATACATGTTATTTCTATGGGCAAATTCTTATATATGTATTAGCAATAGAAAGATCTTAAATGTATGCTTTTGCTCAGAAAAAATTCATTGTAAATTGGTGAAATATTATAATTACATTAAACTAAATAAAACCACCCTCCTAATTACTATTTACCTTTAATAACTATAGAGAAATTATCTGCTCTATGTGTTGATAGGTAGGAAATATTACTAATGAGAAAACTAAAATTGTTTCCAATCGACAATAAATAAAACTGAACTGCCCCTTTGAAAGTAGAGCAAGCATGTTTAACCGATTAGGAAGCATGAAAAGGCAATCAACAGACAGGAAGGTCAGGGGGTGATCAATCTTGAAAGAGAACAATAGCTTCTGCTACTTACGAAATGTTTAAATGTGTTAAGCAAACAAAAAAGGATAAGTATTCTCCCATAGAGACGCAGCTGGTCAGCCAAAAAACCAACCACAGCGTCTTCTTGCGATCCGTACATAGCTGGTAATGAAATGAAATCCCATCAAACAAACGGTTGGTTTAGATGTTATAAAGAACATCTCATTGTTCTGTGTGTCAACTACAATCATTTGCTATGCATGAAAAAAGATAGGAAAGCAATTCATCTGCTGCAGTCCAAAAACCTCCTAACAACCATGTAGGTCTGCAACGGTCGCATGAAATTTCAATTGCAATTTCGAACTCCAAAAGTACCTGCTGTCTGGCAATGATAGGTAACTGATATTGTGTTAACACGCTTATTGTTCAGTTGACTTGCGAACGGAAAAGATTATAACTATTGTTTCAACAACAAAGCAAAGCAATTGAGCACAACATTGAAATATTCCTTTGATTCGAGAAACAATATAGCTAGCCAGACCACACGGATCAAGGACATTGAAGCCCCTGTCCTGGAAAACATTTCTTTTTTTAAGATTTCACGATAAATCATTTTAAATTTATAGAAAAACTTACTATCACAATCATTTTGTTTGCATAAAAGTCCAGGAACATATACAGAATGAAAAACATATTTATAATAACCCCTTTACATCTTTAGAAACTAGACAGACACAAAAAATGTGGCTGAAGATGTGACGTCATTTTGCCAAAGAGACCACACCCAATTTAAAAAATAATTAAATCTAATACTAACTAATGAAAAAAAACTAAAAGTAAGACGTTGCTACCTAATATGGCTAATATGGATCCAATGTTGCAGCCCAGATGGATTATTTGTTGCTAGTGGCAAACCTATTGGTGCATTGGAAGTTAAATGCCCATATTCCAAATAAAACATGCTGCTAACAGAAGCCATAAAAAATGACACCAATTTCTTCCTGATGGAGACTGGAGGAAAATTGTTGTTAAAAATGATGCATGGCTACTATTTCCAGTGTCAGGGGACTTCAAATCTTCTCAACCTAGACTAGATTGACTTTTTTGTCTACACATAAATTGACTTTCATGTAGAACAAATTGAAAGGGACAAATCATTAAGCCTGGTTTCCACTGGGCGATTATCGCGATAAGATTTCGCTTCTATCGCGATAAGATTTCGCTTCTATCGCGATAAGATTTCGCTTCTATCGCGATAAGATTTCGCTTCTATCGCGATAAGATTTCGCTTCTATCGCGATAAGATTTCGCTTCTATCGCGATAAGATTTCGCTTCTATCGCGATAAGCTTTCGCTTCTATCGCGATAAGATTTCGCTTCTATCGCGATAAGATTTCGCTTTCGTATCGCGAAAGATTTCGCTTTCTATCGCGATAAGATTCGCTCTATCGCGCTTAACCGACATTTCGCTTCTATCGCGATAAGATTTCGCTTCTATCGTGATAAGATTTCGCTTCTATCGCGATAAGATTTCGCTTCTATCGCGATAAGATTTCGCTTCTATCGCGATAAGATTTCGCTTCTATCGCGACAATCGTCATAATCGGCCAGTGGAAACATGGAATCTTTAAAAACAATTGTGCTTATCGCACCACAATAGACCTTTCCCCTTATTACGCCATGCGCTCCTGAGTCCGCAATGCATTGTGGTACTTGTATTTAATATCGCGGCCGTCTGTTTACGTTTTCTATGGTGATCGAGACACGTTGTATTTTGCTGCTGAAAAATTGTTAAGAAACTGCCAAAAAATCATGGAAAATCCAGCAAATTCTGATGGCCAGCACTTCCCTAGTTTTTTTCAAAACTCTAGTCCGGGGACCAGTGCCAAGGAATCTTCGGCAACAGAAGAACTGTACGAGAACAGCGACGGGGATGCGACACAGACTAGATCAATGGTGGATGCTGTTGGTGGAAAGAGGAATGATGGCAAAATTAAATCTGTCGTTGGAGGGATCACTTGCTGCGTTCCAGAATGTTTTAGCAACAGCCTAAGAGATCCACAGCTTTCCTTTTATGTAATTCCGAACGGCAAAAGTAAGGAAAAGCAAGAGCTCCGTAAACGGTGGCTTCACATGATTTCGAGGAAAAACTTTGACAATCCAGGCCAAGGCCACAGGGTATGCTCAAAACACTTCGTTGATGGTAGGAAAACCTACATGAATAATATCCCTACGATAGTGCCAAAGAATAAAGACAAGAAAGAGCAGAGAATGAGAACAACCGTTAAAGCAAGGAGCAGGTCAAGTAATTTACAGAAGGCTACAATACTTTTTGGAAACATGAACTTGTCTACCGAACAAACCTCAGACCATGTTCACATTGATTCAGATCCAGCCTGTCATGGACATAGTGAAGATCAATCAATATCTTCTGGCCCAGAACCATCAAATGACATTGAAAATGAACTGATGAAAAGAGTTGCAGAATTGGAATTGAAAAATAAACAACTTGAGGAGGCAAATAAGGACCTGAGACAACAAACAGGTTCTGAGGGTAAACCTAACAACTTCTCTGCTGATGGTTTGAAAGACAACCCAAAGCTTTTTCGATTCTATACTGGACTTCCAGATTATGAAACTTTCAAAATAATTTTGGAATCCTTTGGTCCTGCTGTCAACAATTTAATTTATGTTGGCTCAAATACAAATGCCAGCAAAATTATATCAGCTGACCACATAAAACGAGGTCCAAAGAGAAGCTTACCTGCTGAACAAGAATTTTTTCTTGTTCTTGTGAAACTAAGGTTAGGTCTCCTTGAAGAAGACATTGCTTACAGAGCAGGAATATCTACAACCCAGTTCTCCAGAATATGGATCACTTGGCTTGATTTTTTACATAGCAAGTTCAGATCATACCCAATATGGCCATCTAAATCTTCTGTTATGAAAACAATGCCAAACTGTTTCAAAGAGACATATCCTTCAACAAGAGTAATCATTGACTGCACTGAGCTTTATATTGAGAGGCCATCTTCACTGAGGTCACAAAGTGCAACTTATTCAAATTACAAGCACTATAACACAGCTAAGGGCCTTCTAGGAATCAGTCCAGCTGGAGCAGTTTCCTTTGTATCAGAACTTTATACAGGGAGGACCAGTGATAAAAATGCTACACGCAACAGCCAACTCTATGGTCTACTTGAGAAAGGTGACTCTGTGATGGCAGATAGAGGCTTTGACATAGAGAGTGACTTACCAGAAGGTGTAGGCCTCAACATTCCACCATTTATGAGGGGAAAAGAGCATTTGTCTTTGGGAGAGGAGATAGAGACGAGGCAAATTGCATCAGTTCGAATCCACGTAGAGAGGGCCATTTCAAGGATAAAAACATTTAAAATTTTAAGCTCAGTTTTCCCTTTAACAAGGGCATCTCAGTTGAATGAAATCTGGGTTATTTGTGCCTATCTTACAAACTTCCTTCCTCCTTTAATCAATGAAAATGCAGCAGATGATTAAGGACATTTTTGTAAAGGATACTTTCTCTTCTGTAACTTCATACTTTTTTACAGTTAAATTAGATATAATTAAATCAAAATGAAATCAGATAATGATTTTAATTTTTGGTAGTTTTCAATTTTATCAAACTACAAGAACACACTAGGTCTTTTTATTTTGTCTTTCTAACATTTTCCTATTTAAATGAAAGCTTTAAACATATAATGGTTCTATTAAATATTAGAAATTAAAAAAATACAAATGAATATTAACATTCTGAAGAAAATTAAACATGTGTGTAAGCTTTTGCAAGAAATAAAAGGATTTTATAGTTTCACAATACTTTGGCAACATTTTTACAACCTTGGCAAAATGTGGTTAACAAAAAAGACAGTCAATGATGGAAGCATTTTTGACTTCCACAAAGACTTATCTTTATAAATTCTTTCACAATGAAAATCTTTTAATGTAAAAACTACAAAGTCAATCCATTCAAGTCCCAGTAAATTTACAAGTCCTTGACATTGATAATAATATGCATGTTTTTCCTTCAGTTTTAAGCCAGCATCAGTTAGCTTTAAGAAGAAAGTCCGGTCTTTCAAAGAAGCTTCCTCCAATGTCATGTCTCTCTTTGAAAAAGGACACTTTACCTCTAAGCCACCAACAGGACAATCATTATCAAAGATGATACCATCAGGTGTACCACCCAACCAGGGCCATTTTGGACTTATAATGAAGCCACATTTTTTCACCTCAAGCTCAGGATTATGTTCACTGTATTTTGCAATAGCAGTATTCTCATTATTGATTCCCCATCTTAGTGGTGCTGGCATTGACTCTAAACAATATTTGTTTTTATCAAGAACTGCTTTTATTAGAGAGGATGGATAGTTATTTGGTCTTCTGTTTAAAACTTTTCCAAAGATAGATGCAGTTATTCTTTTGGCCCGTTCCAAATACCATGCTGGCTCTTCACTCTGCTGTATTGTTTTGGTACAAATCTCAATCGATTTTTCAACAGATATGCCAACTTTAGAAATAATGTTTTGGATAATTTCTTCCTTCAACTGTAATTCACTGACATCATTATCATGTGGCACCTCACAAAAAAGTCTATGAATGTAATGCAACTCGGTTTGCTCATTGAAAATGCTTCCTGAAAATTTCTCCAAAGCTCTTGTGCTTGATGTTTGAAACAAAGAGCAAGGCTGATAATTATTTGACTCTATTGCTTCACAAAACATTGGGGCCTTGCCTGCCAATCTCAGCCTTTCCACTAAGCCTTCTAGTTCATCTGGACTTGTTTCCAAAGCAAACTGTGGTGTAGCACAATATGTGTCTCTGCTTCCAGTTACAAGAGGCCTCTTTCTCTTCTTAGTTTCTTCTGCTTTTTCAAAAACAAGATCTCGAAACTTAAAAGCTTTAGATGACAGATTTCTTGCACCTGAAGGAATATGCCATTTCTGCCCAACCTTGGTGCATGTTATATCACTTGGTATTTCTTTAATGTCAATGTTGATAAAGTCAAGTAAAGTATAAAGTAAGGCAGCAACATGCTTGCAACACCCTCCTTGACCAGCTTTACAATCGCATTTCGCATGAACCACATCACCATTGATTTGGTCTAGATGAACATATACCATGTACTGGACACTCTTCATTGATGCAGATATTTTTGCCTTTACAAGGAATAACATACGTTTCCCCTTAACGTTAGGTTTAACGAATACAGCACGCACATATCCCTCCTTCCATAGTTTGTACCCTTCTTTTTTGTTCCTAAATGCCTTGGGCGCTGCTCCATTCTCTGGGCTATTAATTAAACGATCGTCTAATTTTTCATGGCTAAAACTTGGAAGTAGTGTCAAGGACCTTAACCAACCGTCTTTTTCAACTGTGGCTTGTTCTGCAGTCTCATCCACACCCACTGTATCTACTATTTCGAAAGAGCCATCGCCATTGGCAGGCCCGCATGCTCCTATAACAATTCTGTTCTCGTAAAGTTCTTCTGTTGCCGATACTTCCTTGGCACTGGACCCCGGACTAGAGTTTTGAAAAAAACTAGGGAAGTGCTGGCCATCAGAATTTGCTGGATTTTCCATGATTTTTTGGCAGTTTCTTAACAATTTTTCAGCAGCAAAATCCAACGTGTCTCGATCACCATAGAAAACGTAAACAGACGGCCACGATATTAAATACAAGTACCACAATGCATTGCGGACTCAGGAGCACATGACGTAATAAGGGGAAAGGTCTATTAACCCTCTTTTCTCATGATATGCCCAATGAATTCGGCCTGTCTCTTTCTAATCATTTTATTTAGCTTTCTTTCTTCTCCGGCTCTTTTCAATACTTCTTCATTTGATCTATGGTCCACCCATGATATTCTCAACATCCTTCTGAGGAACCACATCTCAACGGCTTCGATCCTGCTCTCCATACCGGCTGAAATTGTCCAGCATTCGCTGCCATATGTTAAGATGGAATAAACATAGCAGCGTAGAATCCTTTTCCTAGTTCCCAACGACATTTTTCTATCTTTCAACACTCTCTTTAACTTCTGAAAAGCTTGCTTAGACATCCCAATTCTGCGCTTGATCTGGGAGTCGCATTTCCCATCGTCTGTTATTGATAAATTTAATCGCGATTTTCGCGTTTGTCGTCCTTATCGTGATAATCGTGGTGCGATAATCATGATTAAATCGTGTTTCCACTGGACGATTGTCGCGATAAAAATGAAAAGTCATTTGAATTTGTCGCTTTTATTGCGATAATCGCCCAGTGGAAACCAGGCTTTATGGTCATCTAAAATGCTACCAACACATCCCTCTTTACAGAGCTTATCTTGCCATACTTGAAAATTAAATGTCAAGAAACAATCTTCTCCTATCATGTATGTTTCTATATTACCTTCATAAAACTGGACAGTGAAATTGATATTGGTTTATTTATTCTGAAGAAGAAAGCTCTGTGGCTTAATAAAGGTGTAGGAGTAGGAGGTTTTAATTCAAGGTTATTCAGTTGCCACTATTCCTATTTTGATTGGCAAAAAATATATTCAAAAAGACAACTGTGTAAGCTTAAATGTAAGGCATCTTATGCTTTTCATTCAGTGCCTTTTTATCAAGAAAATAAAGCATAGTTTGGCAATAATTGGTAGTGCAACTTCAAAGCTGACAACCTTGGATGGCCCAGAATCTAACACCATTCAGTGGGCTTAATTAAAAAGCACCAAAATCACTGTATATTACATTTGTATATGTACTTTATTATATATGCATTTGGAACGACAAGAAACAAACAATGATTTTATAATACTTTTATTCATCTGTTGAGATCAAAGAAGGCACAAAATTTGTCAAATATGCACATATGACCCATATTTTATTTAGCTCTGAACACATACTTATGGGAAACACAGTCTTTAAAACGCTAAAAGTCTTTATTCTTGCAATTGCTCTTTCCACATGAATTCTTAAAGTTGCAATATTACGGGTCTCTTGTTTCTCTGACAAAGATAAATGGTCCTTGTTTCTCAAGAATGGAAGAATGTTCAAACTGACTCCTGCTGGGAAATCATTTTGTATATCAAAACCTTTATCAGCCATAATAGCATTCCCGGGTTCCAAAAGGTTGTAAATACCATAGTCCTTTGTTGCCTGTTTGTCACTGGTCCTTTCGGTATATAAATCTGACACAAATGATACTGCACCAGATGGTGTAATGCCTATCAAACCTTTAGCAGTATTATGGTGCTTGTAGTGTGAATAGGAAGCACTCTGTGATTGTATTGAGCTTGGCTTTTCAATAAAAAACTCAATGCAGTCAATGATGACTCTCGTTGCTGGGTGAACCTTTTTAAAGTGTTCTTGCAACAGTTTCGTTTGTTGCCCAAATGGGATAGCTTCTAAATTTGCTGTGCATAAATCTAGCCATGTAATCGATATTCTGGAAAAATGTGACACTGAAATACCTGCCCTCATTGCAATACCACTTATCATGTTGTGAGCACTTTATCTAAAATACCGATCATCTCTGGGACTGCACTGTGGCCTTATTTCACAATAGTAAATGGTCCACATTTTACATTAAAAAATCACAGTTCAGTGCTAGTTTCCATGATCAGCGAGAAAGCAGCAGATTGTATACTAATTTAAATGAGCGTTTGAAATAAACTGTACTTTACTGGTAATGGGAACAAGCAAATTCAGATGAAGCAGACTTGAAAGTGCCAGTTTACATAAAAAAACACTAGACATAAGATATGTCCCAGGAAACTGAACGATAGCACATGGCCTATGTTTGATGAAGGTAGATATCGCAAAACAGCAAATGCATTTGATGTTTCAAGAGCAGCAGTTTCAGTCATTATGCTGGATGTATATCTTTGCACCTGGGACCCAAATGAATCAAGATGCCAACGACAGAAGAGGAGGTTTTGAATGCAGTTGAACAGATTGAAAAAAATCATAATTTTCCTCAATGTCTTGGAGCAGTGGACGGTTCATATGTATTTATTAGAAAACCGTCAGACAACCCAACTGACTATGTAAATAGGACGAATAGGTATTCTCCTGATATTCAGGCCATGTGTGACCACAATTAGTTGTAACTCTTGATTGTGACTGTGGTTGTGGTAAATGCTGCCACCTCAGTATGGACCTACCCGACCACCACAGTGATGTCTTTCCCTATTCCGATACTTAAATTTGAAATTTATAGGCATAACAAGTTGTATGCCCTAATTTTAGTAAATGAGACGGATCTTACCGTCCTTCTTAGGTACACAGAAAATTGGAGGAATGAACTCTTCACTTTCATGAAAATTGGAGATATCGTTTAAGCACATTTTTCAATAGCAAATAAGAGATTTCTTGCTCAATTAACAGAGTGTGTTGAAAAGCCGTATACTGACGTTTGAAACATCTTTCAAGTACTCAATAGTCATCTTGCATTCCGTTCCATTACCAGGAGTTGTTGCCATTTCAAAAGGATTGTTGAAACTACTTTCTTGCAGAACGTTGTTCAATGCTTCACATCTTCAACACTCAACTGAATCTCTTTATGCAATCGCATGTTTCGATAATAATGTCCTTCTTCAGCAGCCTTATCAGCAGATCCAGACGTGATGATACCTGAATCAATCCACCAAGATTTATATCCTTTGAAACCACGCCTCTTGTAGATCATCCTCTGCCTTACTCTCAACCAATGAAATCCCCCATCAAGACGACAAAGTTTTTGTACACTTCAGGGTATTTCCAAAACAATGTGACAAAGTTGTGCATAGACCTGTTCATCAGCATGCGCAAAAGGTATGCCCAATTTCCAGCTCCTTGATCAAATCAAGCAATTTATCCACAAATCATTTACACACAGGATATTCCGGGGGCTCTAGAATCACTGGCAAGTACTCCAATAAAGACTTGGCAATGACTGAGGCAGTTTGATTTAAGGCAGTACACAAGATAATAACATCAAAATCTGCTGGTTTTTCTGCTGGCAACACATCTAGAGTTGTCCATACCACATCTCTCTTGAAACACCATTTTAATATTTCAGGCTTCTGGTCTTGTTTGTGGCGCTGAAATTTTGGAGGAGAACACCTTGAACCAATATGGAACGCAAGTACTACATCTACCTCATCTTGAAAATTTTCCAAATCAAGATTTCTTTCAGCAATGCCGTCGGGTAGTTGAACTTCCCCTACAATATAAAGTGGCAATCCATTGACAATTACGACTTCTAGATAACTTCAACTGCACTACTAATAAGAAAAGGATATAACATTGCTTCCTTGGATAAAATTCATTTGAGAATAGGCTAATAAATATGACTATCGTAAACAAATGAAAAACTTTGTGAAACAGATACCTGGTAGCAAATGCTGAAATAATAAGCAATTTTTGTCAGTTGTTGTATCAGATCCAGTGACAGTGTCTTGACGACCATCATTGTCAATGGTTACATGAGTTGCTATCCCTTTGGCCAAACTGTGTGAAATGCGATTACTCGCCAAAACCATCCTTGGCCAAGCCTCGTTTTGCATCCTGATGTCCTTATAGGAAATGCAGTTCCCCATTTTATGTAGCATTATCATTGACTGCTTGCTACTTCTAAATCCGTGTAAAGTAAACCCAGTGAAGACTTGCTTGGCATTTTTTTTCTTTGGATCTAATAAGCTTCCCCAGTCAGATCACACGGACCAAATTTTTGTTGCTCGCTGTCTTGAACTTGTTATAGCATAACCATACTCGTTTGTCTTACAACTTGGGCTGATTGTTCGATAGATTAGGTTAAAGAAGTTTAGTAAATATTGTTGCTTAGTTGCATTTACTAATTTAGTGAAAAACCAAATAGAAACTCTCCACGTGTGTCTCTGTGAAACTTTATCACCAACTCAATTAAAAAAAATAGCTCTGTACAAACTCAAAAGTTTATAATATGTATGCATGGTAAAATATGTCTGCAGCAAAAATTTCATGCGCTTCTCCACTTACAGCAATTTGCAAACAAATTGCTGCAGGATAAAAACGATGGTCCACCTCTTTCAAATAAACCTTTTCTTTGCTCGAACAATCTTCGTGCTGATCTGTCTTCTGCGCAGAGTCCCAAGCCATCCTTGTTATATGCATTTGATCTGAGTCTCTTTTCTCGTTGCACACAAAACATAGCTTCTTTTGTACAAGATGTTGGCTTACAGAACACAGTGAAACTCCAGTGGTTAGATATTCGTTCTCGTCATCGTCCTCTATGCTGTCAGCACGATTAGATTTCAAACTAAAGCTTCTTTTAAAGCTATCTATTTTAAAAGCAAAGAACGCTCAAGAATTTAAGTGTGCTCTCCCAAATGCACTTTCCGTATTCTTTACTTTTGTGTGAACTTTTGTGAAGAAGTATCAAGAATTCTCCAAAAGAATATCAATAGCTGACTATGGCACCAAACGTTGCTAAAGTACAAACCCACCCCTGAGTCTCACCAGGAAACACAAAAAAAATCAACACAGTGTGATTTCTCAGAACGTGGTTTGCTACAAAAAATAATTAAATACAGATTAGCAGTTGATAAAAAAAGCAGATAGTCAATATGAAATAGGTTAGGGAAAGTATGAAATACACAAACAAATTCAAGTAGTAGAATAAACTGAACAAAACGAATAACTTATGAAAAACGAAAGCTAATTTAATCAAAAATAACAAATTATTTACAATCTATTTGCCTCCATAATTTGCATGACCAACTAACTGTACACGTGCCGCAACTTACGAGCCTTGACCCTTTAGAAAAACGCCCTTCGAGTCTTTTACTTCAAACTCTATCTGACTTCTTGTTCAATTATATAGCGAATACAACGCCCAAAAAACGTGTGCACAGCGTATATTGTTATGGATATTTATTTACAAACATATTCAAGAATATTTACAAACGAAGCAAAAAAATTAGAGGTAAAACTAAGTCAACCTGTGCATAAATTAAAAAGAAACAAAGAGTGTCTTGAAGAATTTAAAATTTTGATGTCCCGCCGGCACAACTTTGCATGTTTCACAGCCTTCTCTTTCATACTTTGCCATCCATCTTGCTTGAAGTTGCTGATTTTATCATTTTAAGGAAACTGGATTCGCACAAGAGGCACTTACTGTCCCTTTCTAAACTGACAGTGCGATAGGAGCTACTGTTAGCCATATATTGGTACTTGATATACTAGTCGAACATAATGCTTCTTTACCGAGTGTGAGTACGAGTAATAAATATACAGTTGGCAAAACCCATCTATACAAAAAGAGAGAAAACCTAGCACATGTTTGAAAAGTATGGCTCCAATTGTTACCGCTAAATTTTAATAAAATACCTAAAAACAGGTGTCTAACTTTCTATAAAAAATATGGGAAGCATCTTGCTTACAGAATGTTGGAGGTATGTCCTGGCATCAGATGCACTTGAGTTCTCCTTTAACCTACATAATAGTTGCTTAGTAAACTTCTGGTACCTGACATAAAAAAAAACACGCTGCTTTATCTGCATCATTTTGAGAAAGCATTAGATAACTGATAATATTAATAAATTGAAAAACGTTTAAAACATATGCAGACAACTCGATCCATTGCCAACAAATGATTCCATGTGACGTCTTTTGAAATTTCATAAATATGTTCAATATGGATATAAATATGCCTGATGTTGCTTGTTTTGATTTCCGATCAGCTGCAAAGATTTGGCTTCAAAAGGAGCAAAGACGCTTCAACCTTTTTGCCCCTAAAGCTGGGAAGCAAGATTGGTTTAAGGGGGTTTTTGAATGTACTACAAAAGTACAAGACAACTTTAATGAAGATCTGGACATGCCATTTAAGAAAGTTTCTTTTCGATAAAATTTTTGCTGAGAAATAAACACATTTAACTGATGGTAATCGTTTTATTACTGCATTCTGCATATTGTTAAAAAACATGATTTTGTTGCTATTACATCACTTTTGGTATCATTACACCCAATAATGCTATATTATTTGCATCAAAGTAGAATTTCCGCAATAGTTCTATTTCCAGACACACCCACCTTGGAGTTCAGGCAAAGTGCCACACTCAATTATTATGAAAAAAGTGGATCTGGTAAAATTTCTGATTTTAGGCCCTGTATATATCTCACATCATTATAACTTAGAAAATGATACAGCTGGTTTTCTCAATGACATCTGATTATGATATTTTAAACAGAGTATGATACAATCAGACAGCTGATGTTTACGATCCCAAAAGCCAAATGCAATGAAAGCATGAAACAATATGAAAGGATTGCCCCACTAACATTGACATCTCAGTTGGAAGACTGATTGCCGAAATTGGAGTCTTTTCAAAAATATTTAGAGAGGAATCGTACAACTTCAATGTATCCAACAGGTGAACAACTATTTTTGAATGATTTGATTTTAATAGATCAAGAATTTGTTTAAAACATTTAATAAATTAATCTGTAAGTTGCAAGTGTTATTATCCATCAAGTTGACA